ATCATGAAAGCTTCTTGGAGGTGGGCGATCACTGGAATGAGCGATTGGAGAAGATTGTGATGATGGCGCGGTCCTGGTGTCGTCAACGTCATCTGGACCCATCTAGTTTGGAGGAGTTGAGTGGCCTGGCGCGCGGGGGGGCGCTGTTCATTTGTGTGCCAGCCATTGCGCTTGTCGTCACGGTTGGCCCAAGGTCTGGAGAAGTTGCACGTCGAGGCACTTGCGTACGACTTTCCTTTGGGTTATGGCAAGGCTTATGCAAATCGCCTGATGAAACTTGGCTTGTGCAATGATGTGTGCTTGAGCTGTAATTTTGTACAAGCGCCTGCCCTAGATGGAGCTGAACATACGTTAACACTGAAGCTGAGGATCAGCTTCCTGGCGTCCTTTCTTGCTGTGGCCTGCCCGCGTTTTGTTGGGCGTGCGTGAATTCTCATTGCGTGTGTGCTCACTGGATCGTCGCACTGCGAGGAATCCAACACAGACGAGCTGCACGTGCCTGCTGCACTGGCGTGGTCATTGAATGAGTGGGCGCACCACCTTGACACCTGTCCGATGTGGCTCACTGTGCCACAGAAGCAGCGATCCACAGAGTGGCTTGGCATATATTTGCGCGCCCTTCTTCAGGTGTACATGCGTGGCAGTTTCAAGAAACCTTGCTTTGACCAAGGCTTGGGAAACTGTATTGTCAGCTCTATGTGTACTTGGCCCGTGAGGCCGTGAGCCAGATCAGGCCGCGATGGAAAGTGCGACCAAAGTTTCACTCTTTTCTGTGTGAGACCATCCTTCGAGAGGGTCTCCTGAACCCAAGAGCCTCCAGCTGCTGGGGCGAGGAGGACAATGTGGGGCAGCATTGTGCTGTGGCCAAGGGGTCACTTCATGGCGCAACACTCCCGAAGAGAGTGCTGCAAAGGTGGCTTCTTCGCCTGAACTCTCACTTGGTGGCGCGCAGTGGGTAAAACAATCCTGGGCTTGCTGGTTTGAATCGTGCATCGATCAGTTTTTCAGGAATTGAATGCTCAGCTGGGAGCTTCTGAAACATTTGATTTTTGCGTTGCACGTTTGGCATTTGCGTCCGTGTGTGTGTGATGCGTACGTATTTATAGACTATAGACCCATACATTTTTATTTTACAAGGTACTGCGCCCCAACTATGATTTTGAGGTTGATGAGATGATGTTGAAGGACAATTGTACTATATAGCCCGTCATTTCTAGATGGTCCTGAAAACGACACCCCTGGATGCAATTTTTCTTAGGTGCAACTTATTCATATGAGTTTGTTAGCGCACTTTTTGAGATTGGAGGAAACTTAAGAAGCCATGGGGGCCCTGCGCACAAACACACGTACACACACACACACCTGCACCCACGCACACACGCCATGTAAACTCCATGATTTGGATCGGCGTTTGTCTTCCGATCGACACGGGCCGCCTCCGTTGCGGTCGCAGCAGTTTCCGATGGGCTTGCCATCGCTTTCAGGAGCCAATTTACAGCGGTCTGCAAATGCCATTTATTTGCAGCTCGCAGCATGCCCGAATAAGACCCCAGGCGTCATGCCAGTGGTCGGCGCGTTCACCGTCCGTTGCAGAACAGTTGCAATTCAGAAAAAGGCGCAAAGTTGGACAAAAGCGCAGTCAGCCTGTCACGCGTTCCCCACGCTGACAGACATGAAAATCATAAAAGGCTGCACGGGCAGAGAGTTCCACGAATGCGTCAATTTCTCACATGTAACTGCGGGTAGGGTTTTCGATGGCCCACCAGATGCCCAGTGTCGAGCCACGAGCGGAAACCGACGGGATCAGCTTCGCCACCGCGGCGTACCCACGTTTGCTGTGTCAACGCATGTGCGATTTGATCATTCATCAGGCACGTAGCGCTCATTTCTGAATAACAATCAGTGCAGACAGTGATTGCCGCAGATGTGCCACAGCTGAATGACAAACAATGCTTACGCGCTGCATTTTCACGGAGTTCCGCAAGGCGCCAAGCGCCTAAGGTCTCACCAAGCCCCCAGTTTGGGGTAGAAGACTCACAAGGGGGTTCACAGGAGCCATTGGTGAGTGCAACAAATCACGAGATCGACAAGCGCAAGGGTGCTGCTGATGCCAAGAACGTCAAATATGTTTTCGGTATTTTTCGTGACAAACAGAATTCGTTACGGAAGCAAGGAGCTGATACATCCCTTTGACGAATACAGAGCCGTCCCGCATTGTGTTCGAGTTCTACTCCAAAGTGTTCTTACGCGGGGGCCTTTGTGGGTGGCAAAGAAACGGCTACACACTTTGCAACGTTGGAAGAGCTTGGCTAGGGATTTAGAGCACAAGGAGCCTAGCTGAAGGAAGGGATGGCGTTCGGAGCTCCGAGAAGGTTTTCGCATTGTCGGCATGGTCAACTCGACTGGTGTGATGTCAAGCCGAGGATCTTGTCAGAAAACGAGCTGATGCAGAACTCGGTTTTTACGAGGCCGGCGCTACTGGGGAAGCTCAAAGCGACCACTTGCGATGAGGGAGGAACACCGGGGGCTGTCGAGACAGGAGACAGCAAATGCAGGCTGGTTGTTGGGGCCTTTCACTCTGGAAGAGTTGGATGCGCGGTGGCCTGATGGTTGGTTGCCGGTCCGCCGCTTCGGTCTCAACAAGCAAGGCTCCAAGCTCAGAGCACTTGATGACTTCCAAGGCGAGCGTGAATCTTGCCTTCGGATGCGCTGAAAAGGTGGACTTGGGAGCCTTGGAAATGCTTGTTGGAATGTTGATGATCGCCAGACGTGCGGCCGACTCACCGGAGCATTTTGAGATTTCCCTTGCTTCTGGCCAAACGCTGAGACGGATCTGAGGGCTGTTTGTAATGGAAACAAAAGACTTGTACATTTATCAGGTGCGCAAGTGGATGCATTGGGCGTTTTGATGGAGCGTTTGCAGAATGGTGTCCCGGTGCATCTCACTTACCAAAGAACCGCCACTCCTGGTCTTTACGGATGGCGCTTGCGAAGGCGGTACTGACGGCGACCCGTTTTGTGCTAGTGTCGGGGGAGTGCTACCGGAGCCTGAAAAGCGACCCCAATTCTTCTCGGGAGCACTCCCATCATCGCGCTCAAACTGCAAGAAGCGCTCTCCAAGGTGGCTCACGCGAATTCCCCCTGATGAGCGCATCGAGAACTGCCATGTTGTCCACAAAGAAAATAACCCTACGGTTGTTGATACGCTCGCTCCACACCGCTCTCGCCAGGATCGCGGCATAGAGCTCGACCTGACCGATCCAGTGTTTCTTCCCTGCATCAGTCCACAAATTCCGTGGTTCTGCCGTGTGCCGTCAATTTCAAATGTATCTGATGGACCCTCAAGGGGTCAATTCCAATCCATGGAAGTCTGGCAAGCGGTCGGGATCCGGCCTGAGTGCCTGATCACGCACGACAAGCTTCGCAGCATAGGTGTGTGAGCACGGTGAAAGGGGGGAAAAGTCCTGCTCCACACACAGACCATGATTGCATGGTGTGAGGTCAGGAGGGCACGTGCCGCTGACCCCCGTTTCGCCTTGGAGAAAGGAAGTGCTGCGCTTTCGGACGGTCAGACCATTTATAGAAATGATGTCCAGATACATCAGATTGGTAGATGTCATGCTCAGACATTTGATGCTGTTCCTCCCGCCGCCCATCTCGCAACCCCGCCTGTGTGTTGTAAGCTAGTGCTCATGCGCTAGCATGATAACGTTTTACAACATCGCTGGCGCGCATTTTCCAGATGTGGAAAATGGTTGCTTTAAAGAGATGGGTGTTTTACGAGGAAACACTCTCAGTTTAGGGAGCTTGAGTGTCTCGTGAACTGGTGTCATGGCAACCTCGTCTGCTCATGTTACGGAACACGTGTTCTTGCAACATTTGCATTCAAGTGGGTGGGTGTGGAGGGTTTTTCCCCATTTGCCAAATTTTTAATGTGCCTCCCTTGGGGGAAAAGTCCTGCTCCACACACAGACCATGATTGCATGGTGTGAGGTCAGGAGGGCACGTGCCGCTAACCCCCGTTTCGCCTTGGAGAAAAGAAGTGCTGCGCTTTCGAATGCGGTCAGACCATTTATAGGGTTTCAGAAACAAATGATGTCCAGAGGCATCAGATTGGTAGATGTCATGCTCAGACATTTGATGCTGTTCCTCCCGCCGCCCATCTCGCAACCCCGCCTGTGTGTTGTAAGGGGTATTTGTGCAGGCGCAAGGGGGTGCAGGGCAAAATGGATAGACACGCATTGTCATCCCTCCTGCATCCTCGAGCCTGGACTTCTGAGCGACGCCTCATAAAAAGGAGCAGAACGATTGGGTCGGTCGGGTTTTGGGTTTTTCGTTTTTTTGCTTGTCCCCTCTTGGCTTGAAGCAGTGAAAAAGATTCTAACGTAACTTTGTAGTGCAACTCTACTACTCGAATTACATTTTTGCAAGATAAACAAATTTGTTTGCGTAGTTGATTTGATTGCGAGCCCCATTGGCTCATCCCGAAACATATTATGATTATTTATTTTCTTGGGTTTGCGCAAAGTGATGTGCATTCGGGTTTGTGGGCTCTGTCTTGTGTTTGTTTGTTGGGTGCCCTTGCTTTGTGGGCTTCACCGGCGTCTGTTGTGCCGCCTGTGGTTTGTGTCAAAAAAACATCCCCGGATGGATTAGCGACATAGTTTGCAACCCAGCAAAGAATAATAGGAGTGGCAACCTCTTGAGAATCCGTGGCCTGATGCATTGACATCTCTCTTTGCGTGTTTGTGCAAAGGCTTATTTGGCTTGCGCGCCGTCCTCTCCTCAACTGCAGCTTTTCATTTTGTTGTCAGTTCTCGCATTGAAGCTTGCAAGCAGGACAGGCCTTGCAATGTTTAGAAGTGCACTTCATAAAGAGCGTTTGTTGCTAGAAACAAATCTGCCCTGCAAATGAAACCACCAAAGCCCCGGTATGCCGCAGAACGCTGCAGACATGTGACCTACCTACGTAGATCAACTCAGCATTTGCTCCTCCAATGGCATACATAGTGCGATTCCAGTTCCGCTTCCGTTCGCAATGAGCGAGCACGCGAAGATCAATCCTGGTCCGTTCATTGAGTACCTGAACAACGTCTGTCCAGCCCTCCTGGGAGCTTCTAAGGACTCAGCAAATTGGTTGCCAATCTGCCTTATTGCCCCCCCTTTTGTTGCAGGATGAGATTTCCAAGCACTTTGCCAGCCTGGAAATGATGAACAAGGTACGCCACTTCATCGGCGACGATCAGGATTGCCAATTAGCATGATCGGCATTCTGTGAGTCTTTTCAAACAGTTTTGTCGCCGCATTTTTCGAGCGCAGGACACTACATTCTTTATCGCTCGAGAGTTGGTTTCGAGCTCAGGGTTGTAGGTATGAAGAGACTTGTTTGTAGGTTTTGAACAGCATCAACGGAATGGTGTGAATCATGGCATACCAGTTGGTTCAGATTACATGAGGAGCCTTGCTTGTCTGAAAACCATTGTCCTGATGGATTAGGTTTTTTTCATCACAACGTGGTAGCATTATTGCAAGGCAACGGTGCGTGGCAAACATGCTTTGCAGCTCGACAAAGGTGGAGAGAGAAGACAAGAAGGAGGACAAGAGCGAGGCCTCACGAGTAGGGGTCTGGTGACCCGGGCGAAGCGATCATGGGACAGGAGAAAGACTACAAGGAGTACAATATCACCACTGAAAATGAAATTGCGTTCTGCAGACAAGCTTCCGCGTGTGGCTTATGCATTGGCATTGAACTCTTGCGTGGGCTTGCACTTGAGGCTGTGGCAATCCTGAAGCGGAGTCCGGCCACCTTTCGATCTGCCTATGAGGGCACACTGGATGAAGGTGAACTTCGTGCCGCTCTAGACTTGGCTGTTTTGGCCTTCCCATGAATCAGGAGTGCCGGCAACAGGCAACTTCTCTGCATACTTGCAGCGCCATGGTTGCACGTGAGAGAAGCTTGGTCGCCGCCACGAAGCTAAAGCATCTTAGGCTGATAAGTATGGGCGCGGAGTCAGAGCAACTTGCTTAGACCTTCAGACAGATGTTCCGATGTTCCAGCATTGACACTGGCAACGAGGTGGTCACCCTTCGAAGTGGTGCATCTCTATTTGCAGAACGCTTTTGTCCCCCTATTCAACGCCTTTGCCAAGCAGTTGGGCCCTCACAGCCCCCTGACTGTGCATCAGCATGACACAGCTAGGTCAGAAGGTGCCAGCAAGAACGTGGGCGAGGACGATCGAGACGAGCAAAAGGCCGTGAAAGCAGAGCCCGAATGGGGCAACATATGCAAGTAATTGGTGCATTGCCCCATTGCCCCCTCTCAGCGCTCTTGATTTTTGTTTCGTTTTGTTCTTGCAAGGTCGGAGTACCCAATGTTCAGCGCAAGATCATGGATCTTAGCATGGCGCTGATGCGAAGCTCTCGGACACACAGAGCTGATAAAGCATCAGTAGATGTGATGATTGAGGCAGTGCCAACAGAACGTAGATATTGAAAATATCTCATTGCCGCTGGATCCTGAAATTGCGGAGGCTGTTTTTTGTTGTTGTTTTTTTTGCCTCGAAGCCGCCTGCAATGCTGCTGCTCACTGCCAGGCATTTGAGAAGGCAAAAGCAGAAGGCAGACAGCTGACTGTGGATGACTTTAAGGAGCTCGAAATGGCATGGACATTTTCAGAATTGGCCAGTTTGCTCGGATGTGTTTGTTTTCAAGTCTGAGATTTGGCTAGGACCGCATGAATGACTCCATTTTCCAGAACCAGTTGCAGAGCATGCCTGACATGTGCATTGAGCCGGTGAGATGACAGGGAGCTGTACAGCTGCAGTGCTGTTGGCCAGGTGGCGTCAACAAGTGGAGCAAGGAACACCCCATTGCACCACGACCGATTTCTTGCGAACAGTTTCCGCTTAGGAGATCCAGCGAGTGGCTAAGATGCAACGGGACTCTTCCACGGGAAGCACGATGCAAGAGATTAACTTTTGGCTGGGCATGGACAAGGCAGACAATCCAAACCAGAAGTTTAGTCAAAAGTCAAAGATATTCGTTCATTTGATTACATGGTTCCTTACAGGTTGCATAAACTCATTCAGACTCATTTGTTTCATTTCATTCCATTTGGTAAAGTCTATGTGCTTTGCAGGTCCTGAACGATGCGCAGCAGCAGCTCCAAACCCCAGAGATCCAGCTGACGCTCAACTTGCTTCGGGCCAGCCGACGTTCGCTCACCTTTTGTCACGCGCTTTGAATTTGTTTTGTTTCTTTCGAGTTTTCCTGCTTTTGAATTTTGTTGCTCATCGAACTTCTTTTTAGCCACTTTTGGACATTGCAGCCATCTGGCAGGGGGCGCGCCGCTTTCTTGCCACCATGTGGGCCCCTGAGACATTTGATTCGTGCATTTCTCAGAGTCAGAAGGGCAAGCGAGGTCTTTTGAGGCTGACACGGGCCTCAAACCAGCCATTGAGAAGGTCTCGAACTACCTGAACTTGCTGCTCGTAGCAAGTAACTTCAAGTAACACTTGAATTTGCCAAACTCGAGCTATTTGCAGTGGATGCCCTGCAGGCTTCGCGACTTTCCGATCAACGAGCTACTTGTTGCCAGAGCCTGCAGTCGAATCCGCCTCACCCTTCTTGTTTGCAATGTGCAGGCCACGACAGTCGAGCAGCTGACGCAGGCCTTGAAGTGGGTGCAAGTCCAACTTGTCCAACTTGTCCAACTTGTTCTGCAATGATCTTCGAAGGCTGTGCGAACAATCTTCAACCACATGAAGCGGATCAGAAATGCAGTTCAGTGCGCTGGGTAGCTTGATTTGCCCTCCTGTACTTTGTCTGAAATGTTCAGGTATCCGCTTTGGAGGGCATATCACTTGGTAGAAGCCGTGAGCCGGGACTTGTCGGCCCGTTTCTCAAAAGTGACCTTTGAGTCCGCGCGGGGAGTGAATGGAGTCCGTGGAGTCCGTGCGTTCCTGTAGGATAGACTGCTGAAGATCGTGTCAACACAGAGGCTCATGCAGCAGGCTGGATGAGGGCATGCAGGGGATTCAGCTGAGTCCCCAACTCAAAACATGCTGACCACAGCAAATCTGTCTTGGAGCAGCGACTCAATCTAACACAGCCACTGCAGCTTGTTGTGGTCAGCATGTTCCTTGCTGTTGCAGGATGCGGACATGTTCAGCCAGAACATGTCACAGTGCACTGAGCTGTTCCGCGTGTGGAATGAAGAGGCCTGTTGCAAGGAGCTCTCCTTACTAGTCATCAGTCATTGTCTTGCATTTCCCTGCCAGCTTGGACAATTTCGACAGCTTGCACGTGAACAGCTGAAGAAGCGCTTCTTCCTCAGCGGCCTTCCTGACTACATCGCATTTTGCTTCTTGACTTTCAGGTGGTAACGAGCGGCCAATCGTGAAGATCAATTGAACCATAGCGGCATTTGGCGTTGCGTGCTGTTCTGGTTGAACATACGACTGCCGTCTTTTTGTTTGTTTGTTGTTGTTGACCTCGTTGCCAGCCTTTGTTTCTCGCTTCCAAGTATCGCTGGTCCTATAGCACAGTTGCCAGTGAGATAAAACTGGCATTGATGTGGTCCACCTGGATCACTCTACAGACGACTACCACATATGGGCAACGGTCAACATTCACCATTTGCGAAGGGATTCGGAGCCAAGGCGAGCACGAGCAGCTTCAGGCTGCCTGCAACGTATGAGGCCGTGAGCTTGGCACCCGAGACCGCAGGCCCGGATTGAGGAGCTGCAGAAGTTCCGGAGGCGGTTCCATGAAGCGGTTTTCCCACTGAAGCGTTTTTCCTTGAGTTTTTCCCTCAGTTTTTCCTTCAGTTCCATTTTGGCTCCTCTCTCAACCTCTCGGGTGTCGTCTCCCGGAGGCACCACATGAAGTTGCAGGAAATCATCGAGCGAGTTCTGGTCGGCAAAGAAACGGGTGCCAAGGCAACTCAATGTAAAACATTTGAGATGCATGTGAAACTCAATGTGAAAGCCTTGGCATTGCGCAGGCTTCAGTCGCAGATGCCTATCAACTAGTTGAACAGGCTGGAAATTAAATCGAAGTGACGGAATGAATTTAGTGAAATCCAGGTGGATGTCTTGGATGTGAGCCGACGTGGACAGCAGGCAACGCTTCCAACTCCATGCTTCATTTGCCTTTCTGCCTCTTGCTGCCTTTCTTGCTGCCTTCAAAAGCTCCAGGAGTGGGAAAGTACGAAGCGGAAATATGATGAGCGCCCTGCCCCCAGCGTCCGGCCGTCTGAATTCTGAATTCGGATCGGGTTTCTTCGAGGCATTGACCATGCAGAAAGCGAAATCACTGCGAGGCCATGCGCCAACATTGCGTTGCCAGCATTTGCGCGTGTTCCATTGCGATTGAACGTTTTTGCCAGGCTCCGCGACAAGCTTGGCGCTGCGAAGACCGCCACAGAGCCTTGGCTCAGGCTAGTCACTGCGAGCTGTGGTGGCTATTGGCTCCTTGGAAGCTCGCACATGCAGCTTTCAGAATTCCTATTTATTTGAAGCTCAGGAGATGTTCCGAGTCTTCAGCAGATTTAATGCTCTCTTTGTCCGGCCTCGTATCCGGGGAGCAATCCAGGCGGGAAATGGAATTCTGCATTGCGGCTGGGGCGTGGGGTAAATTGAAACTGGACCACCTTATGCTTTCCCTCAATTGGACCAACCGGACCTCAGACCACCAACTGAAGGACCAATTGGACTTGGAGATGGTGAACGGAAACGTGCAGAGTATATTGTGCGTAAGAAGTGCGTACACTGTGCACAAGACCGAACAACATAAAGTGTACAGGATACCCTGAGTGCACTGGCCAGACCTGCATCATGCGCCATTGGGCGTGGCATGCCCACGGGCATACCGCCTGCAGGGGACACACACACAGAGCAGAGAGGCAGAGAGAGAGGGAGAGAGAGAGGGAGGGATGTCTAACTACATGCTTCACTACTTGCATTTGTGTTGCATGTGTACTCTACCGCAGGCCTTGAGCCTCAGCCTGACTACACCGGGATAAAACAAAAGGCTGCAGCAGACTACATTTGTTTATGTTAGCAACAACAGCATCGCACTTGCACTTGTAGTAATTGTAACTACGATCTTATCGTGGTAGCGGAGCTGAGATCCTAAACATGGGGGAGCTCCAGTAAGTGCTACAACAACTGCAACAGCAATCACATGCCAAACTACTACGACATGTCAGAAGAAGCAGCATCAGCTTCAGCGCAACAAACTACAGCAGCAGAGAATGGGTCAACAGCAGAAACAGTAGGAGCCACGACTACGGGAGCAGGAGCAGAACAAGACAACGACGTTCAGAGACTACACCGATACAAACTGCCACCACGCTTCTTCACTGGTGACTGCTCCCAGTATGAAGAATGGCTGTTCAAGCTACAAGCATACCTCAGCCTCATAAACCGAGAACATCCTCATCAACATCTGTCAGGGAGCAGCAGCTGCAGTAGTCAGGCAAAACCGCTACAACGCAAATGGATGTGAGACACTGCGACTTTTGAGGCTCAGCCTACCAGTAGGAACACGGAGCGTTGGCTACCTTACCAAGCTACTGGAACCTATATTCAATGAAGCGCAGTTTGAAGAGCATTTCCTACAATGGGAACACGACATCAACCGCTACGAGAAGGACAACGGCGCAGCACTACCAGATGGAATAAAAATCGCACTACTGCTCAGCAAGACCAAAGGAGCACTGCAACAACATCTCCAACTACGAGCTGGACAGATCACGGACTACAATGAGTCGGCGCAAACCACAATGGAGGAGCTGCGCCAATGGACGTTGACCACATTTGAAAGAAAGGAAGAAACTACACAGGCAAAGGAAAAGGCAAAGGCCACTACAAAGGAAGTAAAGGCACAGGCAAGTACAGGCGGAAAAGGGCACTACAAGGGATTCGACAAAGGCAATAAAGGAAGGAAGCTACAACAAAGCAGGATACAACAAGAGCAACGGGCTTGGCTACGACTACAGGTACTTCCTCAGCAAGTCCGCTCAGTCCCTCTACATTCTGGACTGAGACCTTTCCCGAAAGCGTGGGTTCTTGCGCTGGGTTCACTTGAGTTGTTCTCATGATTGCAAGGAATCATCATCATGGAAGTCATTGCAAGACAAGGAGTCATTGCAAGGAGTCATTGCAAGGAGTCATTGCAAGGAGTCATTGCAAGGAGTCATTGCAAGGAGTCATTGCAAGGAGTCATTGCAAGGAGTCATGAGAGTCATTGCAAGTTGCAAGGAGCCAAGTGCATGGAGTCAAGTGCAATTGCAAGTGCGCGAAGTTAAGTGCAAGTTGTCAAGGAGCCAAGTGCAAGGAGCCAAGTGCAAGGAGCCAAGTCACGGAGGCAAGTGCGAGACATCCATAGATGCAAGTTTGCAAGTTCCAACATCAAGGTGCAAGTTTGCAAGTGCAAGGAGTCAAGTGCAAGTTTACAAGAGCAAGGAGATCTATTGCACGTTGCATAGTGCAAGGAGTCAAGTGCAAGTTTGCACAGCGCAAGGATCAAGTGCAAATTGACTTTAGGTGTTTTAATCTCTTCTTAGGGCGGCGGGGTAAGCCGACGACACTACAAAACAAAACAGACACTAAAATCGACCCTCTGCGGGGATCGGCGAGGTCCCAGGTTGCAAAACAAAACTCGAGGTTTTTTGCGATTTTCTGCGCAACCCTTTGCGGGGATCGGCGTGGTCGAGGTACAAAAACTCGAGGTTTTTTGCGATTTCTGCGGTGCTCGCGCAAGCCTCTGCGGGGATCGGCGTGGTCGAGGTTCAAAGACTCGAGGTTTTTTGCGACTTTTGTTGTTCGAACTGGTCCTCGGGAGTTGTCTCGTGGTTCGCGCGCCTGCTCCCGGGACCGGCGGGTCGCGGGTTCGATTCCTCCCTGGTCCGCGGGGAGGCGTCGCAAGATGCAACTTGCATAAAGCAACTTGCGCAGAGGAACTTGCGCAGAGCAAGTTGCACAGAGCAACTTGCGCAGGGCAACTTGCGCAAACCAACTTGCACCGACCAGTTTGCGCAGAGCGCAGAGCAAGTTGCGCAGAGCAAGTTGCACAGAGCAACTTGCGCAGAGCAACTTGCGCAAACCAACTTGCACCGACCAGTTTGCGTAGAGCGCCTTGCCTAGAGCAACTTGCGCAGAGCAACTTACGCAGAGCAACTTGCGCAGAGCAACTTGCACAGAGCAGCTTGCGCAGAGCAACTTGCAGAGAACAACTTGCACGGAGCAATTTGCACAGAGCAACTTGCACGGAGCAATTTGCACAGAGCAACTTGCAGGGAGCCACTTGCAGGGACCAACTTGCACGGAGCAACTTGCGCGGAGCAACTTGCGCAGAGCAACTTGCACAGTGCAACTTGCGTAGAGCAACTTGCGCAGACCAACTTGCACCGACCAGTTTGCGCAGAGCACCTTGCCTGGCGCTGTCTCGCGCTTGCTTCACGAATGCTTCGTGTAGGGAAAAAGAACGCATCCTGCGAGTTTTCATCACTACTGGCAATCCTCTGTTTTCCACTCCAGTTAGAAAGATACTACAGAAAGATCAAACTACATGCTTCACTACTTGCATTTGTGTTGCATGTGTACACTACCGCAGGCCTTGAGCCTCAGCCTGACTACACCGGGATAAAACAAAAGGCTGCAGCAGACTACATTTGTTGATGTTAACAACAACAGCATCGCACTTGCACTTGTAGTATTTTTTTTAACGAGGGAGAGAGAGAGACACACAGAGACAAACGAGAGGACCGACGCTCAGAGACGCTCAGAGACACACAGAGAGACACAGAGCCAGAGAGAGAGAGAGAGAGAGAGAGAGAGAGAGAGAGAGAGAGAGAGAGAGAGAGAGATAGAGACAGAGGGAGGGAGAAAGAGAGAGAGAGAGACAGAGAGGGACAGAGAGAGAGAGGGAGAGAAAGACACAGAGAGACACACAGAGAAAAATGTCAGAGTACATGCGGTGTTGTACTACATAGCTTGTGCGTGACCGCAGGCCTTGAGCTTTACAACATTGCGAGCCCATGAGAAACAGGAGTTGTGCAGATCCCGCTGATGGCCTCGCTTCACCCCGAGCTGCAGCTGCGCACGCCGACCGACTCTCCGCCTCAAAGACGGCCTCTCAAACAGCGGCGGACGCACTGCGATCTGGAGCAGGCGTGGGACTGCATCCTGCGCAAGCTGCCCATGCCCTTCGAGCACTTCTGCGGCGCCGAGGCGTGGGAGATGCCTGCGGTGTGGGAGCAGCAGTGCTACGACAGCGTGCTGGCTGGAAAAGCGGTGAGCGCAGAGGACCACCGGCTGGCCGTCAACACCGCCAATCTCATGGGAGACCTTCCGCGAGTTCCACGACTGCTACCTCCACACCGATGTCCTGGCCCTGGCGGACGTGATGGAGAGCTACCGGGACTCCTTCCGGGCACAGTCGGGGCTCGACCCAATCCACTACGTCACGCTGCCCGGAGCCGCCTGGGACGCCATGCTGCGGCACTCGGCCCGCGAGACTCCCATTCACCTCATCACCTACGAGCAGGCCTACAAGGACGTGCGGGCCTCTGTCATGGGAGGGCTGAGCTGCATCTTCCAGCCCTTCGCTCAAGCCAACAACCCCAAGCTGGGCGAGGAGGACTACAACCCCGAGGAGCCCGTCAGCTGGATCTCGTACTTGGACTTCAACGCCATGTACCCGGCCGCAATGACGCTGCCCATGCCCAACGGCCCCTGCGTGACGGTCGCCCTGCCAGAAGAAAACGCCGCAAGGCTGAGCTGGCTGCACGAGACGTGCCTCTCGGGGCTGAACCCCTAAGTCTCCGGTATTGGTTTGTTTCGCGCGAGATGGAAAAAACCAATCGAGATTGGTATTTCCCATCGTGGATTGGTAAGTGGTGTAATATGAATATTGCAAGATTGGTTTGTCAAAAATATCAATATTTGACCTTCCCTAGCAACTAGCTATTTTGAAGGTTTCCTTCCTAAATTGCTTTGACTTTGCAATTAGGAACCTTCTGACTTTGCAGTCACATTTATGACTTTGCAGTCATTTCCCACCCTCCCACCACCCCCAGAGAACATGACTTTGCAGTTATGCCCCACCTTCCCACCACCCCCAGCCCCACCTGAAAGCTGTTGGCAAATGCCCTCCTCACCACGAACCTTAAATTTAGGATTGCCACAACTTCGCACCCCCCAGCCCCACATCACAATTAACCACTCCTGGCCCCAGACAAGAGCTGCTGGCAAAAGCACTTTTTTCCTTAGGCAGATTGGCCCAGCTGCAAAGTCATTGCTACATCAAGTTTCTCTGACAGCAAAAATGGCACGGCTCAGACAGCCTTCCAACAAAATCTTCACTTCCATAACACCGCACATCGCGAGGGTTCAGAGTCAAGCCTTGAATGGCTAGCTCATTGCAGTAATGCAATTTTGGAACCATTGACCATTGGCAGGTTTTTTCTTTCACTGCTTTTGCAGCCAGGAACTGGTATGTTTGCAAAGCAGCTTCCATGTGACCCAAGGCTGCCCTTGCTTCTTGTTTCTCAGGAACCAGGCCAGAGTCATACACATGGTTGTAGTACA